GGTTCGAGTCTGACCTGCAGCCCTTTGCTGCATGTCGTCCCCTCTCTCTCTGCCCCCCTTTCCTGTCTCTCTCCAGCTGTCCCTGTCAAATAAAGGGATAAAAGGCCAAAAAATAATACTTAAAAAAAAAATTTTGTATAATGTATAGCATTTTTTCATTTTTCTGTTAAATATTAATTGAAATATTTTTTGAGAACATTAAGCTTTTATGTAGCAGCAACGTTGAAGTGGAACTCCCGTGAGATGACAATACCATTGGCCCCAAGATAATATGCGTTTGATGCCTTTTTAAGGATTTTAATGTGGATTTTGTTTTTTGCAGAAAAACATATCAGACACATTATTGTTCCAAGAAGACTATTTGTATATGTCTGGAGGGGGGTCTTTAAGGCTTTTAGTAACGCAGGAAGGTGTTGGCGATCCATGTTGAAGTGCTGCCAGTGAATCCCTGTAATACAGGCGCTGTATTAGAAAGGTGGAATCATCTGTCATAATGTCATGTCGTTTGAGACACCTGCTAGCCTCTATGTTCATCATCATGTGTAAGTGGTATTTTAAAGGTTTTCTACATACACAGCTATGAGAAAGCATAAAAAGGCAAGCGCGCCTGTCAGAAACCAGAGTTTATGGCTAAAAGGTCTTGCGGGTCTCCTAACAAGAAAGTGACAGCCTTTGCCCTTGAGAGTTTTGCCCTCCATGCCCATCAGAGTCACAGCTCTGGCAGAGACAGACGAGGGCCCGTCCCATCATGATGGATGCCCATTCTGATGAAGAGGACGCAGCCGGGTCCCACGGCGGCAGGAAATGAGACAGCCGTCACTCCTCCCTTGAAAATTCAATCAGAGAATCCACCGATCATATTCAACCGATACAGCAACCTCGGTAAGCATGGTCAGAGCGCATTACCAGTCTGTCAGTGATCCAGGGGACAGGAAGAGGAGCTGTCTAATGATGGATGAAGGAGTGATGTTAACCCTCCAACCCTTACACTCCATATGGACTAATTCTGGATTAACACCTCGGTTTAATGGGGATTATTCATCATGTTAATGATGACAGCGGCTAATACTGACTGAGCAAAGGTCTTCAATCTTCATAGTGAAGATGTTGGAAGGGAAGATGTTAATGGGAGCTGGAATCAACATAACCAGAAGGACCATCAACTCAACAAGCAAAGGTAAAATGAGGACGCCAAGCAGGTTAAGAACAAGCAAACTTCTTACTGTGAATTTTCTGAAAGCCACTATATATTTCTAACCCTCTGATGCTTTGGATCTGGATCTTCAGGTCACCCAGGATCCATACCCTTAACATATTTTTTAGAATTTACATGTATCTATAATTTTGTCATCACAATTTGTTCACACTGTGATTTTTTTGTTGGTTTGTTCTGTACACATTACATATTTCATTTCTGCCTAAGCATAAGACGCAATTCAGGAAAATAAGGAGACAAATTCCAATTCCTTTGACACATCCTGCATTCAGGCTACTCATGCACTCAGCGGAAGTGAATATTTCAGATTTTATTTCATCTGTGGTTACTGGTGGTAAAAGCCTTTTTTTTATACTTCAGATCCCAGACTTCAGTTGGAAATGTAGATTTGTATTACACATCGTTCATTAGTGGAAACCAGCATATGTAAAGGAGCTGAAATGACAGAGGAGAGCAACTGGTTTATCTGTTTACAGAGCAGCCAAACAAACATGGATTAAGGGCATTCATCCTGTAATTGTGTAATGATAATTCAGTCACATGTGATTTCATCACATCATGAGCAGCCTAATGTCTAATCACAAGTATTAGTCATCAACAAAATATTGTCAATTATTAATACAAAATCATGTCAACATCCACACAATTCATCTAAGCTGTCTGACGTCAGATCATGTTTCACAATATACCCGTAAAAAATCTAAAGCATATGACTTAATAGGCTTTCAAGGAAAGAACATGCTGAAGAATACTGAAGACCATGCTTGGCTTCAGGGGCCCTCCAGATTCATCATCATGTACCTGAGTCAGACAGTTTCCACACAATAGCTCAGCTCAGTAAAAGGAGTTGTTTACCTTGGTGTCATGTTGGAGGAGTGCTGGTTCTCACAAACCGCAGAAAGAGACTGTCACCTGCCGATTTTCATCGAACAGCTCATTGTGGATATGTTTGCTTGCTGGGCAACAAGGGCATCTCTCAGCTCATTGTTTTGGTTTTATGGTCCCCAACTTTACTGTTTTGTTCAATTTTGGCTCTCATCAACCTTATTTCCAGCAGCAGCAGGCAGCTGTTTTCAGTTGAAAAAGCTCTGATAAACCCACTGTACACTACCTGTCCGACACCAAGCAGCAGACTGACACAGTTAGCAACTAGCTGGTGAACACGGTGGAGCATTTAGCATGTAAACATTCTGAAGTTTCTGCCAGGAGTTGGTGGACCCAAAAAAGAGCTAAAAGGAGAGTAATCAGTGGATTTACATTCATCAGTTAAACACGTTAGCCGTATCAACTTTAAAAGTACAGGTGTGATATAGCTTCTATCAGTGAGTTAAAATTACCCACAGTAACACTGGAGAATGTGCACACATTGTTTCCTGTGAGTCTACTATGTCAGTAGGCAACTTGAATCCAGTTTTAAAAAAGGAGTCAGAGACAATGAAAACTACTATATGCAGAGGCAACTACAGTTAACAATGTAAATTAATGAATGGCTATAGCTGAAATAACCCAGGCCATAAAAAGTTGGGGCTTCATACAGTGAATGCAGATTTAAAAAATCTGTGTGTAATTAAACCCCTACATTCTGCTAGCTCCCTCCCTCCCAGCAAATTTAAAAAATGCCTTGTAGCTACAGGCTGTGGGACGCAGTGGGTAACATCGACCAGAGTGACAGACTGACCACCGCTCTGTGTCTGCCCTAGAAACACTGGAGTCCACTGGAGCTGTGACAGTCACTAGAGGCACACTCACAGCCGTGTTGTAACGTTAGCTAAGCTAGCAGCTCAGGGAGGCTAACTCTCCGGTGTATGTGGTAGTGTCAGTACGGCTACGTAGCAGGTCATAGTCTGCAGAGTGGATACGTTGGTTTTATAGGAGGGGTTGTTGGTGTTAGTGTGGGTTGGTTGCTGATGAGAGCTTCCACCACATACATCACCTGCCTTCAGATCAGCCAATAGCGAAATTCAGCTGCAATAGTTGGAATAGTTTTTAACAGTAGAGGTATGCTATGCTTATTTATAGAAATAAAATACTCTGCACTAAAATGTCAAGATCTGAACCTGTATCAATCAACAGCACTACTAAGTACCCATATACATAGATTTTCAGCTGAAAAAAGTGGTCCAAAGCATTAATCTGCTTTCACTCTTGCTCTAAGGGGTAAAAAAGAGCTAATTTGTCTCGCCGTCCATGTTCCTGTGTCCAATACTTGTGTAACTGTTACAGTGGGGAAACAATTATTTGACATCAAAGAAGCATCAAAGCAACATCCCCTATCGACCACGCCTTTTCTTGCTCTCAGCAACCAAACTACTATTGATTGCTTTCCCTCTTTCAGCTCTGTTAGGAAAAACTTACACTGCTAAACACACATTCTTTTCCCACTACAGCTGTTTAATAATTTAACCTATTACATAATTGTTTCCTTGGCATGATATAATCCTGCCTTTATGCAAATGACACAGAGCTGTGATTTGTTTCATGCTAGCAGTAAGGCTGTGGTGCTGTGGTCCTAATGGGAGCTGTGGCTGTGTGTGAGTCATCCTCCGCAGGCTCTTATGCTTGCCTCTAATCATCCCCCCGAGGAAGGATAGGAGGGGAAGGAGCAGTCAGGAGGAAAAGCACAGTGTCTCAGCAAAGATGAACAGGACCGCCTGTACATGACACTGACATACTTTCCACAGCTGGTTTTTAACTTCTCTGGCTGGGCAGTACCCTAAATATTATCAGAACTGTACAGAGAAATACAGTTACAGTCACTCTACAGCAATACAATCAAGTTCCCCTCCAGTCTGAAATCAGTGTATCTCTTCTAGTTTCTCCTTCGTGCTTGGACGGAGAGGGTGAACCAGGGAGTTGCGGTCTGTAACTGCACCACAAGATGCCACTAAATAAACTAACTAAACTATCTGAACTAATGATATTCAAAGGAATATGTTGATTTAAGAGTTATTTCTGTAAGTTAAATGCACTGCATTTATATAGCTTTTTTAACCAAACTGCTTTACAATTTGCATCTCATTTACACAAACACTTAGACAAGGAGTTACCAGGCAAGGCACTGCTCTGATCATCAGGTCCAATTCAAGGTCCAGTTTTTTACACAATGTGGACAGAAGGAGCTGAGGATCAAACCGCCAACCTTGTGATCGGCCCGCAACCTGAACCACTATGAATATAGCTAGCCTTCTAGCTGTGTATGAAGATGGTGTCCCCATTCTTAATCCCGCCCACAAAGCTTTGATTGAAGTGTTTCTATAACCAGGGGAAACAGCCATCAGTGAACACAACGGCTGTGAAAAATTCAAGATTCTGAAACCAGGCAGGGCATATACGCTGCTCAAAATACACTAAAGTTACAATTTATAGCCAACAGTTCCTCCCTTCACAACTCAACAACGCAGTAAAACCGTGTCTATCTGGAACCCCCAGACCCTGACAGACATGGTGCTTTAGAAACACTATGAAGGCCAAGATGTCTCCTGTGAGTGGACTCACGTTGTAGAGGATGTCAACCCATCCCTCCATGGTGATGCACTGGAAAACGGTGAGAATGGCGAAGAGGATATTGTCAAAGTTGGTGATGCCAAAGCTGGGTCCGATCCAGTACTCCCTACAGGCGGTGCCGTTGCTGCAGGTCCTTGCCGGCGCCTCCAGGCCACAGGGAAAATCTGCCGCCTGCTCACCTACGGCCACAAACACACACAATCACAAACATAGAAATACACAAACTGAAGTATCTGTAGGGCAGGGATGTATTCTTATCTTCACATTCTTATATTCTAATCTCTTATGCTAAAATACAGAAAAATCATGCCATTTTATGCAGAACATATGGGTTTAACTACAAAGATACACAGGATGGCAACATTTAAGCTGAGTGCATTTGACCTCATTTCCTGTTTTTATCCACAGTGACTTACAATTATAGTTCAACCAGTGCTGGCTCTCCAATGTTGACAAAAACATTCAAGGTTATATATATATGAGATTTAAAACATGAATATAGCAGCAAACAATCATTTGCTATATAAAGATATCGGGGTTGCTACACATTTTTCCTTTCAATGTTTCTCACGTTTCCAGACAGTCTCTGAACATTTTTCAGATCAAATTAGATTTAAAAATTATTCTTATTATGTCAATGAATGATTGATAAAATCCAATAGTTAACATGTATGTTGTTAGGGCCCAAGCAGCAAAGCGCTGCGAGGACCCTATTGAAATTGCTTGGGTTATTATTTTATTCCCCAATGAATCCCATTTTTGGAGGTTCCATCACTACATATGTGTTTAGATAAGCCTGATACTCCTTTGGTTATTTGCTGCATTTTCTTTTAATTTGGTTGCAGATTTGTACGGATTTGGTATAGTAATAAGCAGAGCTGGTGCTAAGCATAGGCCGTATAGGCTTTTAAGGGCAGCAACATGTGGAGGGGGCCACTGCCAAGAAAAACAAATTCCAGATATGAACACAGCTGATCCACTAAATGCCAGCACAAAACACACGCTGGGCATAGGACACCAAGAGCAAAGGGGCACCACAACAAATGATCATTAATCACAATGGTTTATACAGCACATAACCACTTTTAGCTGTCATTTATGGTGACGATAGCTTCTTCATCTCTCTCCTCTGCAGAACAGAGTACAGGGCTGCCTGCCACCTGCTTTGCTGTTACACGGTGCTTGTTAATTTAATAGTGATTAAAGCTGTTTGTCACTAATCAGAGAGAAAAGGAGGAAGGACAGTGTCTGTGTGTGATGTCAGTAATATTATTTATTTTACTGAAAATGTTTGATTTTTTTTCCAGTGAGATATTATTGTTTATGTAATGACTTTTCTGTTGTAAACTTTATTGTTGCTGCTCTCAAAACAGTATTTAGATATATATAATATATAATTAAATTTTAACCGTGTTCTTTTGTCTTGCTAATGTCTGAGTGTTGCTAATGTCTGTATGTATTTTTGAATTAAATACTGTAATGATAATAGTCTAAAATTATATGAAAATGCGTAGTTTTTAGTCAAATAACGTCACCATATCTTGGGTTAACATTCCAATTTTTTAACAGGGCAGAATGGTGTGTTTTGTTGTTTCAAGTAAGTAAGTAATTCAATTGATGAATGAATGATGCCAAGATACACATAACAAAACCAATTCCAGTCCATAGCTCTGGGCCAGGGCTTGGTGAGGGTGGGACCAGCTGGCCTGGGTATATGTTGGAGCATATAATGGTGAAATTTGAGAAACCTCTATAAGGTACAAGACAATGGAGTGTTTTTGGCAGCTATAGTACAACAAACAAAGGTGCAGAAAGGGATCAGGTTTTATGTCACTATACAAACCATTGAAAAATGTCCTCAGCTATGACAAACTCAACTTACGCCCTGGTTAATACCGAAATCTTGTTTATGCCTTGTTCTCCTCTTGCTCACCTGTGTCTATCCTGAAGCAGGTGCGATGGAACTTGCCCATGTAGAAGTCGAGGCCAATGATGGCGAACATAAGGATGGCGAAGAAGAGCAGCAGGCCAATCTGCAGCAGAGGTACCATCGCTTTCATAATGGACTTCAATACCACCTGCAGACCTGATGCAGACAAAGAGAACATGCTTTTGAAAACACAGGAAATCATTTGATTTAATTATTTTTGTTTTGCCTCTGTCTCTGAACAGGGCTAGCAGCTAATGTATCAGGGCTTTCGGTGTAGCCTGTGGATAACTGGAAAATGGATATGCGGGCCAACAGTTCCACTGTAGCCTGATTAGCAACTTGATATGCAAGAATGAGAAGCTAATAAAACTGGAGCAACAGTTGTCAATGGGCACAACACCAGATTTTTTGAATGACTGAGCACAACAGTGTTGCAGACAGTGAGTCTGGAGTCATTGGTTCTCTTGGTTCACAAAACTGAGATGGGAATACGCCAGATTGTCTGGATATACTGTGGTAAATGGCATTTCAGACTGCATAAAAAGTGGGCTGAAAAGATTCTTGATCTTGGGAACATATCTGTGAGAAAACCCAGTTTGCCAGAAATTCTGTTTATATAGCACTGACTTGTTTCCCCAATTCCCCAATTTACAATAACTCTATCTGCTGCCAAATTAGAGAAGGCAATGTTTTTTAGTTTTTTTTTTTGTTGCTACATTTATTTACTCCACCAAAGTTGCAGGAAGAGGTCAGGTCAGATGGTGGGTGTACAAAGAGCAAGATTGTTATACTAGAGTCCAGAGATTGCATCATGACCACTATCACAGTTTTCAATTAAACGCTAATAAATAATTCTCTCCTAAGTGCTGCCATTGCCAAAATATACAAATATGTTACCTTCAAAATGTATTTACTGTTGCGAGTTAGTTGTATATACATGTAATTTCTACAAGACAGGGTTGTTTAAACTCAGGGTCCCTTATACCACATGCAGATTTCCCAGTGCTTTTTAACACATCCCAGTAATTAAGTGAATGTTGAGTTCAGAAATGGTGTAATATTTTATTTCTGTAACAAGATAATTGATTCAGATGATTACTTTGCTTTGTTACACCACTGAAATAAACACTGGGGAGTGAAGGCTGGCCCCGTGTGGTCCTGATCCAACTAGACGAGCCTACTGTCACGCTCAACATCTGGTTTTTTTTTTTTTTTTGCTGAAACAGTTAAATGCTGGTGCTGAAGGGGGGGAAAAGGGGTCAGAACACACAGTGAAATAACTCCTAACAGCATGTAACTCCACATAAACCAAGAATTTGCATTTTTACATTTCTATGTGCTAATTAAACCAATGTGATACATGTTGTTAATTAGCCAGTTTCCAGTCTTTATGCTAAAACTGGCTAGCCATATCCTGACTCTAACTCGGTTTCTGGAATCTCTTTTATCGTATTATAATCAGTGTAGTAGTTACATTAATTGTGATAAAAGTTTTCAAATGTGAAGTATACTTACTTGGAATGCCGGAGACCAGTTTGAGCGGCCGCAGTACTCTCACCGCCCTCAGTGTTCTTAGATCAAAATCAGCCCCCACAGTGGCCAGGATTCTGCACACACAACAACAGCATAGGCTCAAGATTGCACTGTACACTGTCAGCAGCTATTTGTCCAAAACACATCTGCACGAAAAGATCAATTTAGGTCTTACATGTAGCATCTTAAACATCAGTTAATCATTATCTAACAAATGAGACAATGGTAGTGACAGTTGGGGAAGTAATGCAAGTAATGTTTCTCACAATAAGACCACCAAAGCACAAACTGGTGACACTGATATTGTATGTACCAGCTTGTATACACACGATGCATTTAGACACTTCTATTATAATTAATACAGCTGTCTAAACCGGCTGCTTAACAGTAACAGTCTATTCTGTTTCTTTTTTGGGTGTCTCACTACAGTTTGCCTATCTTAGTGCTGCTCAAACGCGGGTTAGGAGCCTGAATGCATCCTGTGTAGATTAATTAAGATTTAAGATTTACTTCATTTATCCCTATTCTTTTTTTTTTATACACACACAGGCTGAATTGCACATGCAAGGCTTCTGGACATGCTAACAGAGAGAGAGATGGTGGTGTGATGGGCTGCCACGTTAGCAGCACCCCAGGAGCAGTTTTTTGGGGTTAGGTTGCCTTGCTCAAGGGCACCTCGTCAGTGCACAGGAGGTGAAACTGGCCCCTCTCCAGCTACCAGTCCACACTCCATATTGTGGTCTCTGGGACTTGAACCAGCGACCCTCCGCCAAGTCCCTACACACTGAGCTACTGCCGCCCACAAGTTAGGCCTGGGCAATCAAATAATAGCAATATATATCTGCAATAGAACCTTAAGAACATTGTTTAATAGAATATTAATAGTCTAACTTAAATACAAACCGCCTTGAAAGCACTTATCGAATACGGACAAGCTCATAAACAGCCTATCATTTCCCTTGATAACGGAGCGTGCTATGAGTGAGTCACCCTTTGGGGTACACAACACGTCGTCACTCCCAACCGCAGATTCAAACCCTGGGCCACTACAGCAAGACCTCGGTACATGGGGTGTACATTAGCTATCCAGGGCGCCCCGTGCATCTTCTTTAAAATTCATTTGAGCACCATGGACAAAAAATATCAAGAAAGTGAAGAAAGCAGGTTCAATGGACTCAAAGAATCAGGGGGGAAGTGAAAGTTGTATACTACAATGATTTCTTTTGGTGTATGTGGAACATTTGATACCAAATTAGTGAGAGATCTAAACCCTGCCACTAAAAATCCACTCTTGTTATGTTATCACTTATGAAGAGATCATTTTTTCAAGGGCACTCAAAAAGTAAGTTATATTTTCAAGCTTCAAGTAAACAACCACTGTCAGAGCGATTACTTATCTAAGAAATAAACTTCAGAGGAGCCCAACAACACTAACAGCAGTGTGGATCCTACCTGCCACCAAACACAATGACAGGACAGTCTGTGGCTGCCAGCTGCTGTTTCAGCTCAGTGATCATGACAGCGTAGTCAGCGAGGGCCTGCTCCACCGTCAGCAGGCCGATCTGAGGGACGTTAAAGGAGTCTTTGCCAAACGGCAGAGATTTGCCATAGTACCTCTGGAAGAGGGAGAGGAGGACAAGAAGACATTCAAAACAAAATGCAGGCAATGTCAGAGCTGCAGTAAACCCCCGCTCCACATCAGGACATCATACTCTTGTATGTGGATGTGATCCAACCTGCCAATCTTTATTATGTGACTCGCTGTTAGGGCACTAAAACTGTCTGGCTTCTGGCTAGATAAGCTGATGGAGAATGTTTTATTATTAAATTTCAAATCATTTCAACTCTGGAACGACATTTAAAAGGTCCAGTGTGTAACATTTAGGAGGATCTATTGTCAGAAATGGAATATAATATTCATAGGTATGTTTTCATTAGTGTATAATCTGAATATA